GGAGGACAATGATTAGTTATTGGTGTTGGTGGTCCAGATCAATAATCAATCAATAAGCAATAATAATCAACAATTGCTGTCTAGGCAGAGGTCTGCGCTCTCAGAGTGCTTTTCTTGTTTTGTTATGTTTTCCTTTTTAATTTTCAAACACTGGCATTTGTGACTTTTAACTCTCATCTGCCTGAGGCTCTGCACATTTTCTGTATTTCCACATAAGCAGTTGTATTGTTTTTTATGTCTATAAACATTATGTAATATTATTTTATGCACTGTCATCATTTTTCAAAAATTGAGACCTTCATCATGTGAATTTGAACTCTCATGGTCCTGAAACTGTAATCTTATTGAAGGGGTGGATTGAGACCATCTTCTGGGTCTTCTGGAAGACGGTCAGATTATTAAGTTTATATTGACTGGTATCTATTTTTTTCTGTTGGAAGACCATAAAAATGGGGGATGGATCAACATAGATACTTTGGAATACTGTCAGAAAATATATCTGGGTTCGCTCCTGTTATTGACCATGGTACCTGTTGTGCATGATTAGAATTCAGTGTTGACTGACAATGCTATTATAAGCATTATTTATTATTGCATCAAAATTGACAAAATAACCTATTTTGCATCTTTATTTTCTGTTTTTTGTCTGCACATTTGACAGCTTTGCTGCCTTGTTACTGTTACTTTCACCCTGAGCTTCAGAGATAACTTGACACTAACCTCTTCACTATAGCCTATCTTCATCGTGTCAAGTTACCTCTGACGAAAATAGTTTGACCTAGTTTATATAAGCCAATCGAATCCATGTTTCAAAATTTTTCACCAAAGTTTGGTGAAAACGCTGATTGGTTGAAAATCCAGAATTATATCCAACGAGAAAATTGTATTTCATTGCGTCCGCATTACTGTCAATCGGCACTCCTCGGCTGATTCCGCAAGCTCCATACTAACAACAAAGTTATTGTCGAGTGCGGAGACATCCGAGTAGTTCCGAGTACATAAACGTACACAAAGAAAGCATGGCGTCTCCTACAAGTGACTACGTAAAAGAATGTGTTAAGTTATCTCTTGATTCTTTGCAAAATATGAGTATATCGGAATTGAAACCAGAGCAGTTTGAAGCCCTGCATCATTATCTACTGAGGGATGATGACGGATGATGTATTTTACGTACTGTTCACAGGTTACAGCAAGTCCCTGATATTTAGCCTTATCTTTGATTGGTCCGGATTTGAACAAAGCCTGCTTTGACTCGTTCGCGTTCATTGGCTAGATCATTCAATGAGTCATTGAGGGTGGGCTTTAAATTTGATTGGCGGGCGGTGCGGGCAATCGAATGTGGTCAGAGGTAACTTGACATGATGAAGATAGGCTATCGTGAAGAGGTTAGTGTCAAGTTATCTCTGAAGCTCAGGGTGGTTACTTTGCACTGAAAATATTAATTTACTGTCACGCATGAAAGAATTTAAGATATCTACTTGTAGAGATAAATTTGTAATTCAAATTTCTTTAATATGAAATATTTTACAGCCTGGCAGGCCACAGTGTTAGAGAACATGGAAACATTGTGCAAGAATCCCATAGATACCATCTGGCCCCGAGATACCTTGTTCCGCTACTTTTTACTGATGGAAACACTACAGGAGAACCTCACAGAGAGGCAGGAGATTTTGAAGTTGGCAGGTAATAGATTTTACATATCATGTGCTGGGGTAGCACTAGCAATTTTTTCACTTAGCCAAATTGCCACTGTTTCATCACTTTTTTTTCTCCAAATGGTTTAAATTTGACAAAAACAAGTCAAATCAACCCTTTTTTTTTGTTTAGCCAGTTTAAGTCAGTTTTAGCATTTGGCTAATTTGGTGAGTGTTAGCGCTATCCCAGATGTGTATCAAAAGTTTCTTAATAACTTGCTAGAAAACTTAAAGTCACTGTTATGCCTATTTGATATTTCAGTTTCATTCAAATTCCAAAATCTCTGATTTTCATAGCAACAACTATTACATATACACAGTAGCTGCCCTCCTTGCTGGTCTTAGTCTTACTGTTTCTTCTCGTTTCAGATCAGTGTATTTTAAACATGCACGATACCTAAGAGAACACGCAAAAAAGTCTTGGGGCCCCAACTTTCAGTTTGGATAAAGAAGTTCAATATAATTCTAGTGATGCTATTTTGTCATACTAATACTAATACTCAAGTGGCTTGAGTTGTGAGTGATATTTACATCTTCTTGGAATGATAAAAGACCCCCACCCCAACAAGGAAGCTAGGTGATGGTATTTGGGGCAAAAAAAAAAAAAACAAAAAAACCTTCTACTACCTTTTTAATATGAAAAACTTCAAAAGTCTGTAAATTAATATGTTATGACCACTGTTGGTCTACATTTAATTCATATTTGTGATTAAATTTTATTTAAGCTTTGAATAAAATATTTATTATGGTCTTAAGTGATATAGAACAGCTGTTTCATTTCTACAACGCATTTTTGTTTACTTGTATTTGTTATTTGAATAAACAAAAGCAGTTTTCTGCGTTATATTGAGGACTTCATTCGCTTTGTTTCAGATATAGAAATTGAAAAACATTATTCAAATTTTCAAATGGTTTTTGATAATTATCTGAGTTCAGAGGCATTAAAATTTTATTTAATGCTAATAGAAGGTGCATAACTTCCAAATTTGAGTATTTCCTAACAAAATAATCTTTATTTCCATTATAGTTATAAACATGTAATTTTGCTTGTAATAAGATCTACATGTTAAAATGTACAAATGCACAGACACTGCAGTAGTTCCCAGAAGAAAATTGTTTTGTAAAACCAAAACAAATAAATTATGTATATATATATATATATATATATATAGATATAAATATATGCATTATTGTAAAGCATTAAGGACGGAACAGACATGAATATTTATAGTCATACATTCAAATAAACTTCAACTGGATTTCACTAGCATAGCAGTAATATGTAAGCTCGATATTGCACATATCTTTATGAGCTGCTACATTAACTATACTTTAAGGAAAAGTGTGTGGAATATTCATTCCTATACTTCCTACTATTTATTCACAAACCCTGTACTAATAAATAAAGGCTAAGAGCCTTTTGAATAATGAAATTATAACTTGTTCAAAATTTTCATTCATTTTTTTTTCCAAATATTTTCAGCAAGCAGAAATGAAAGATATGTGTTAAATATTCATTAGGTTTAATCGAAGAAAGAAAGTTGGGTATATTTAAGCGCGAGACAAATGTTGCTCAGTTGTTAGTTAGAACTAAATAACTTTTGGATACCACAATACTTTCCTGCCAAAATCGTACAGAGGGGCCCTTTACCAATAATTAACCACTGTTTTTGCAAATAACCCCAGTGATATTCTTAACAACCCCAACAAAAATTCAGATCTTAATAGCTCACATGCAGTGTCAGATATGGGTCTTTTTATTAGCTGTATTTACCTGGCAACACTTATTTTATGTAAATCATTTCCTTGAATAAACAACCCATTCAAAGCCTAGGATAAGAAATCTTACTGCTAGTACATTTACATAGTAAAACTGAAAATTAAGCACTGGCATGATAATTTTTTGCACAACCACCAACCAATTTTTTTTTACAACATGAATATTTCACTTGAAAGTGACTTAAAATGAGTAAATAATGGGTTTATTATGCTGATAAAAAGAGGTTTGATGGACAGCAGAACAATAAATTCAAGAATTGTACTTCGAGCAAATGCTTTAAATATACCATTACTTATACTACCATTGATATTTGAGAATGAATGCTAACTTGCAGGCATACTATGATGAAGACCCAATTTGTCTGCATATTCTCAATGCATATTCCTCTTTCAAAACCCTGAACTCTGCAACTGCACTGCCATTTCTATAACTTGAATTGATCTTGGCTACACTGATTCATATTCCTTTTGCCAGGCTAGGTACTTATCAGCCAAGGTTCTGGCCGATGGCTTAGTCCTTTCAAGAGCGGTTAAAACATCTTCTGTAATTACCTTGTCCAGTTTGACATGGAGTTCATCCCCTGAAAATTAAATAGACATTTGGGTTCAATCTGAGTGTAAAAAGACAAGACAATTTTTAGTAAAAATTATTGTATCAAAGACGTGTCAATCACATGAAAGGCACAGTATAAGCATTACACCAATGACTTTCTTAGCTCATTGATAATACCTTCTGTATGTTTTCAGAGGCATGTTTATCTTACTGGGTGATCTGTGTGTATGAAGACCAGAGAACTGTTTTAAGAACTATAAACATAAATATTCATGACCAAGATCTTAAACAAAGATGTAAATCAAATGAATGGCATAATTTTTAGGTTGATGCATGCATGAATTTTATACCTTCCGTATGGTTTTCCAAGGCATGAAATATTTTCCTGACGGGACGCATTGCAGCCTCTTTGCAAACTAACTTGATATCAGAACCACTGTATCCTTCAGTTTTCTGTAATTTGAAATAAATAATTACATTTTAATCCAAGGTTTTTAATAATGCATACAACCTTGAAAAGTGATAAAAAAGCAATCTTGCATTCTTAATTTTATCTAAGATTAGGAATATATTAAAATAGAAATATATAAAACAATATTAACACCTATATATATTGCCGGATGAAAACAACATGAATTATATTAACATTAACATTATTCATAGTAAAATATAAAATATTATAACATGTTGGATTTACAACATAATATTTCACATATGTGTAATCCACAGATTTACAGCTTTGAGCTTCTTACACAATTACTTATAGAGTACTGAATATATGACTTATATGCCATTCCCATGGCATCATGCAAGTGTCACCACTTTTCCCATTCAGTGTAGAGTTATGCTGTTCAGACACCAGCTCGGTTGCAATAAAGGTGTATGATAAGGTTTAGAAAAACTAAACTGACTCCATTGGGACCTGGTTTCAGCATGGCCCAGGACTCACCTCTGCCAAACTGTCATAATCTAGTTCTGATAATAGTTCCAGTCCCTCACCAGCTGGGGTCACGACCTCTGGTAAATGATGGTGGAACATAGCTTTCCTTGCCTCTATTGTAGGAAGGTCAACTAATATCCTCTTTTCCAATCTCCTTAGCATTGCATGGTCTAGTTCCCTGAAATAGAGGCAAGACAGTGTATCATGGCTGCTTGAATTATATGCTTGTGTACCAACTTCAAAGTTTTCTTGACGATAAATTCCTTATCACAAATATCACTTACACTTAGTTATCAGTGTTTTACCTCATATGTATAACAATATAAACCCACCATGGTAAATTGGATGCTGCAAGCAAAAAGACTAGATCTTCTGTTTTTGCTAATCCATCCATTTGCACCAATATCTCTGTCTTCATCCTTCGACTACCTTCATGCTCCCTGAAAGGGAAAAAAATGATTTGGTGTAATATTGAGCATAATTTTTTTTTTTTTGCTGTATAAAGTTAAATAAAGTTGCAGCTAACCAATATTGAGTTTAGATATTATCTAAGGTGTCACATTTGTTTACCTTTTATTATTTAAATGTACCTTCAATGTTCATACTGTACCGGTAAATATATACTGTACTGCCAAGTAGAGCTGGTAATACCATCTCTTAAATAACACATTGTCATTTACAAAACAAAGATGGTTTTAACAGAAGAGGAGAAATATTTAGAAGAAAAAAGTTGTACAAAAGAATACAATTTTGTAAAACTATTTCGGAAAGCTTTAAACTTTGTAACCTACCCTGACCCTGCTCCTCTAGTACTCATCAGAGACTCTAATTCATCTAGAAATATTGTGGATGGAGCATAGAACCTTGCTAGCTCAAACAATACCTAGAACAATAAACAGTACATATTTCGTCACTACTTTATAGCCGTCTTTGTAATCCTATTTTTTAATCATTTTATCCACAGTTACTTGGTCAGTTTCTGAAAAAAGTAGGCAGCAAATGATAGACTTGTGAAGATTCTTTTGTCTATAGCTATTTATATTAGTTTGATCTAATCATCCAATATTTCATCTGCTTGCAGTCAGATTTCATCAGGGAATGAGGTTGTGACAGGTATGACAACCTGTCACCCCCTATGGCTGCAAGCAGATGAAATATTGGATGGTAAGATCAAACTAATATAAATAGCTATAGACAAAAGAATCTTCACAAGTCTATTATAATAACATAGCTAATGAAACTGTTCTACAGCAAATGATAGGTTTTAATCAAATATTGAAAGACATTACCTACCCTGACTAATTTTTCTGAATCACCCCTCCACTTGCTGACTATACTTGAGGCAGAGATATTAAAGAATGTGGTCCCGCACTCAGTGGCAACTGCTTTGGCTAAAAGAGTTTTACCTGTGCCTGATAAAGAAAAGCCTTTTATTATGAGGAAAGAAAATCAATATAAAGTCGAGCCATTTCAAGTTTCAAAATTTTAGTCATTGACTTTGTTGACAAGATCCTAAAAGTGGACATGGGTACAATTGCAATAGAAAGTTATGATTATCCATCATAATGAATTAAACATGTTTTTTGTCTATTAATCATGTAGGGAATTCCTTGTTTTATTACATTCTTGATACCAAATAGGCATGCAGAGCCTGGGCTCATTTATATTAAAATGTTACCTGGAGGACCATATAAAAGAAGACCTTTCCAAGGTGATAGAATACCAGTGAACAATTGTGGATACTGAAAATACACAGATAATGAATATATATATACAACTTAAAATTTTTCTATGTATAATATTTACAAGTTTCATAATTGAAACTGATTTTCTCACTTTCTACCGATTCTAATCAATAAAAGGTAGGCATATGTAGATTTTTAAAATTATTTTTTATTCATGTAAATATATTCACCTTTATTGGATAAACTACAGCCTCTTTGACTAATCTCTTGGCTTCACCTAAACCAATAATATCATCCCACCTAACATTTGGATTACTGGAAAATATATCCTGGAAATAAAAGTATGATTGTAATTTGCAGAAAATGGCATTAACAAAAATGGAACAAACACTGCAAAAGCACACAACAGAAACATACAAAAACTAACTGCATTAAAATGAGCATCCACTAATAAAATAAGTATAATAAAAGATATATTGTTCAAGCTGATAAAACTAAACAGCAACTTGATGAAGTAAATAAATGTCTGACTTTGTCAATTTTTGGAGGGATAACTTGTTGATATACCTACCCTACTGATGACTTGAGCAAGTTCTCTCCACTCACTATTATACCCCATGTACCCACCCAAAGGTTTTAATAACCTGTCCTGAAATAGGAACAATGCAGTCAGTTAAAAATGCCAATCATAAAACCATCTATATGTACATAGTGTGGGCTTTAGTAATCAAACATAATTTTTCTAAATTATAATTGTGATTTAAAATAAAAGTTAAATCTCCATTTACTCTTTATGACATGTGCCCCATGTTATAACACATCAGGAAACAGAATGATACAGATGATTATATTTCACTTACCCCAAGATCCCCCCCATCCTCTGCATTTAATTTTGTTGCATCATTTATCATGGCACGGATGTCAATGATTTGTCCAAACTGAAATTTAAAATCAAATAAATAATACAAGAAAAAATACAGTGATTCAAATTCGCAATGGAATGTAAATCAAGTGAGGAATTTGAATCTTTTAAAAAGTTATATTTATCATTAACCAGTAATTATTTTATTGTAGTTTTTTTCTCTTGGAGTGACAACATTATCTTTCTTAAGAATGCTGTTTGATCAGCAAATACTTTAACATACAAGGCACAAGGGCTTGCTTTTGTTGAAACCTCAGTTACGGAAATTTTAACTATTAACTTACTTTAGGCTTGGCTTTTTCTGGCTGTTGTCCTTGCTGTGAGATATCTGTTGCACTGTTGCTACCCTGTACACAAAGACCTTTCAGACCCATTGCCAGTTGGTCAGAGTCTTGTCCATTTGTACTGGATCCATTGACCTGAACATATATACAATAGACTTATGTATAGTACCAAGATTTCATGGGACATTTTACAATACATTTGTGATTGAAGTTATTAAGAAATCAGCATATCACTCTCAAATGATTCAACGGATCCACTTCCATAAATTCCTTACATATATGTATATATAAAAAAAAAAATTATAGATTGTCCACTTGCAATCATTAGACAACTTAAGATCAGAACTTTCGAAACCACTAATTAATAATGACAAGAGCAGGATCTAGCCAAACCTGTTTTCTTGGAGGAGCTTGTGGTGGTTTTCTAATAGCACCAGACTTGGGTCTCATTCCTGCATTTGGAGGACTATTTGGCCGACTATTTTGTGGAATGCGTGGAAGAGCAGGTGTACTGTTGCTTTTACCATGTAATCTGAAACATTGTAATAGTAATAAAAAAAATAACAACAATAACGATAATAATAATAACATATTAACGTACAAGTAGCATTTTAAATCTGTCAAATTGTTCAATATGATTTATAATTTTAAAAAATTAAATTATAAATAGCCACAACACCACATATCAAAAAATAGCATGTAAGTCTTGAGAAAAAAAATACATATATATATATATAATTTATTTATTATTATTATTATGAAACTTACAGTTTATCAAGAAAAAAATTGGTTTTAATCAATTTTTCTAGAAAAACTTAAAGATAAAACTATTTTTGTTACTGTTTCCATCTGTTTAAAACAACTTGAATACAAATTTATTTTCGGATCTATTTTTCAATATCAGCTAGCCTGATCAAAATTCTTTGCCCCTGAAAATATGGGCATGCTAATCCAGTTTACATTTATAAAGCATGTCTATGACAATATGATGTTTATCAATTACAGCTTAATTTTGACACAAAAAATCTTTTACATAAAATGTGGTACAATAATATAGAATGATCTAAATTATAATTTGCATTAAATGGTTTATGTACCCTTTCAGTTTTGTAGCCCTAGTTTTTCTGTCTCTGTCATTTTCAGGAGCTGCAACAGAAATAATTGCTCATTCATTACATAAAGAACATTTTCACAGGTTAGGTATCTTTAATGACAGTATTCAAGAAGGCTTTAAAGAAAAAAATATCACTTCCTTACAATCCAACTCTAAGCCAATGCCTTTGTTATGTTTATGGATTGTTTTATTGGGGCATATTGTAAATTATAGTTTCATTTAAGGTAGCATCACCTTGAGGAAAACTCTAAAAAGTTTGATACAATATATCAATATTTACAGGTAAAAAGTACCTACCGCTTTGTGTCAATTTCTTGGTTATTTTAGGATATTTTCCCAATTTCACAAAGTAATAAGATTCATATTCCATAAGAATAGTTGCCAAGTCAACATTATCACAAACTTCATGTCTCTTCAAATCTATGTTAGTCTCCTTGGACAGCGTGTCTGCAGATTCTAGGTACCTGACCAAAAAAAAAAAATTAATTAAAATCAAGTGTGTGTGACATTTTAACATTGTGCAATATAAATCTGAAGATAGATCATTGATTTTTTTCTCAAAATTTCAGTCAACATCAATGAGATGGGTTTTGTCTGTATTTTTAGTATTTCAATAGTAAGTAGTATACAGACCCCATGGATTAGTTTGCTTTCATTTCTTATTATTTAATAAGTTGTGCTTTACATACCCTTCCTCTGTGAGATAGTGAAGTACAAGAATCAGCAGATTTTTCTTTCTAGTTTCATTCCTAAGCTCGTCCTGAAGCAGAAGTTGGAACAATGATTTACTACATTATATCACTACAAAAAATTAAATATATGAAAACTCAATCATTATTTAAAGTATATTTGTACAGTCTTTTCTAGTTGGCTGTCTATTACTAAAAAAAGACCCTTATTATATTTTACTATTACATAAAGATATGCCAACATCTTTTTTTCCTGAAGTTAAACTAGTATTTCACTATCAATTTTCTTTATGTCAGATAAACAGAGTCTGGGGGAAATCTTGAGTACACTACGGTCTATTTGCCCCGTCTATTTAACACGTACACAATCAGATCACATTTTAGTTTATATGTGAGGGCTCCCCTTCGACTCGAAATTAGCTTACGCATTATTCTCAATTCAGTAGTATTTGGACAATTCATTTAGCATTACTATTAGTGCTACTACCATCAGTACTCGTTGCATTTGTAGTGAGGCGATAATTTACAATTTTAGTTTAATTACCAAGCAGACGAACAAAGCTATATGTTTCGGATTTAAGATGTTAGCATTAACATATTGTTGTCAATATATATATTGTCTACCCACCGCTTCTCTGGCCTGGTTAGCAGACCGTATCATTTGATAACTTAATTCCGTCATGATGACGGTTGTTTACGGTCGTGAAGACGAGCTAATATGGCGATTCATTCCCGACATGCAACAGTAATTGCGATAGGTGAGCAAAAGTTGACCTCGATAAACTGATCCTGCAGAGCTTGGAAAATGTTTGGATTTTGTGTTTGTTTGGGCGTTTTCTCGTATATCTAATAACGTACAAATAACTAGAACAGAGTGTTTTAATATTGCGTAATCCAAAGGAGGACCCCCTGCACCTTATGTCTTTTTGATATTCGAAAGGGAAATGTGAGTACTTGACGAGGTAAGTCTTAAAAAGGGAGCTGTCTGCATATTATTACATTACTTTCTGCCTACATTGCAATTGGCTTCAGTTGTTTAGGTGTTAATCACCAATTTAACGTAGTAACACAATGAATTTAAACCTGGACAGCACTGCATGTGCAGTATTCAGAGGTCTAATGCGAATTCGCATAAAGTGGACATACTTCTACTTACACTGATTTTCTAATATCAATTAAGTTTGAATTAGCAAGCCTAATATTGCTTAATAAATTATTTGATGTAAATTATTTCAGATAAAGTCTCATGCACTGGTTCAATCATTCAGTGTGAAAGTGTGACACTTTCAATACCTGGATTCTTATTTTGAAAAGTGCAGTCAACCAATCTGCACGATGAAGAATGACGACAGAGATCATAAGAGACAGTGCAATAAGGAATTAGCATCAACAAAAGCACCATTCAAAAAGGCAAAATATGCCTGGCAAATAAAAAGGACATCTTCAGAAAGTACCTCCATGTGTGAAACTAATGATGTCATGAATGTTGATGATACAATACAGAAAGCCAACCATGACAATGTTTTAAGTGATCCTGCCAGCAGAAGGTCAGACATGTTGGCAAATCCCCATCCTGCAATACTGACTGCTACCTCATCTGAAAAAAATATGCAGTTATCAGAAGAAAACTGCAGAGAACATAATGACTCGATTAAACAGAAAACAAACATAAACTGTCAGCCAGATGAATCCAAGGCAGAGTGCAAAAATTCTGAGTGTCTGAGTTTTATTGAAGATTCCATATCCAACAGCATTTGTAATGACCTAAAGCAAACGATTGATAAGGCAGATGGAAGAAAGTTAGATACACAGGAACCAACTGTAGAAATTATTGGAAGTTGCACAACAGAGACCCAGGTTATAGAAATACAAGATCTCCATTCACTACCCCCAACATCTTCAAATGTATTGGAAGATTGCAGAATTATAGAGAGAGTGTTATTACGCAAATGGCAAAACATGCACTGCAGTAAAGCACTGATTGAAAATGCTATTAATAAGTCACTTGAAGAGATGGGTGCAACTCCTGAGTCAAGTCATGATGAACAACATGCTGAAGAAGCAGGTATTCTAACTGCTATTCAAAGACAAGGACTGACAACAGCCAGGCCTGCATTAACTGCAGAACAACGTCAGAGAATTATGCCCATGTTGGATAGCCTTACACAGGCTACTGAAAACATACTGACCAACAGAGCATATGCTTACTCTGCACTGAATGATGAGCAGAATATTTCGTATTCCACAAGTTGGCATACAGAGACAGCAGCTGGTGTTGGGGATACTGATGATACTTCATCGGTGGAAGAATCTCACTTCATGGGCCATGTGCAAAGTGGCAATGGTAGTAGAAGTGACTGTGACACAAACTCTGTACAAAATGCTGGTACCGAAGCTGTGGAAAGCATAAGCTCTGAAGAGGAAGATTCTCAAAATTTGAATTTGGTTTCTAGTGTACCTTTTCAAACACATTACAGCTGTGAGGATGATGTTTGCTTGAATATTGTGCAAGGGGAAGAAGTTCCACAATCTCCTAGTCATTTTATGGATGCTGCAGTTCTCATGGCAATTGACCAGCAAGGCCTGACATTACAGAACTATAGTGATGATAATTATCAGTAGGATTATTGGCAGCAGTTTTATCTGTAAAGTGTTCAGTCACTTACTGTTTCTACTTTTTGAAATGGTTAGCACATGCGAGAAGGGTGTACATTGGAACTGTAATGACCTATATCTGGAACTTTTACAGGCGAAAGTAACAAAAATATTGTCTTTGAATTAAAGACTGGGTTTCCATACCTAGATTGATCTAACATAATTGACCCATCTCCAAGGCCTTTCTCGCCAAGTTGCTTTCAGCTTAAGTGGCTTAGATGTCTGGCATACCTACTGAAGCTGCATAATGATAATTAATTACCCCCTAGCAGCTTCAGTAGGCGTGACAGACATCTTAACCACTTAACTTGATTGCAATTTTACAAGATTCCCCTTGGAGATAGATCGATCCACAATTAGTACGATACGGTCTGGGAATAGACCCTAATACTGTAAATATCTTTATGGCATGGACTGAAAACTATGCTGTTTTTCAATAAATGTCAATAGAGTATGAATTATGTTGTCATGATTTTATAAAGTGTTTTTTTTTTTATTTTCAATAATCATAGTATAAAATCATAGTATCACGCTTGAAAATATGTAAAATAAATATTTTCAAAACTATGACAGATCTTGAAAGCTTTATGAAGTTTTGCTGAATTTTGTAATCAGTTTCTGTTCTGTGATTATAAATGCTGCACAGCAGCAACATTTGAAGCACTAAGTACTAGTATTTTATTTTTCCATAAACTAACCATTGTCCAACAGGACAACTGCCAGTGAGAAGTCCATAAAATTTGGGAAAACAACAGGCATTCTAACATTAACCAGCACCTTTTTCACACAATTAAATGAGCAAGAAAAGGTCATCAGATACATCTTATTGTAACTCTGAACATCTCTGGTAAAAATCATAGGAAATCCCATGCTGAAGATGGCTTGGCTGCAGTTGTGACAGTCGGCAGTAGGTGTTCGCAGCTTTCTGTGGAGTTCCTTTGGAAGATCATTGACACCAATGCCTGTGAAAGAATTAAAATCGTAAAAAAATCTCTAGAATTTCATTTTAGTTAATAATCAGTTTAATCATGCCTGAACATTCTGAAGTTTTAACGTTCATGTTACATGGCTAAAACTGAGGATGTTATATATATATATATATATATATATATATATATATATATATATATATATATATAGAGTAAACAAGGAAATTTCAAAATGATGCCTTACCTTCACATTTAACGGAGCTAAACAGTACTCTCATGCTCATTTCAAGCAGGCTGACAATTTTATTTGTGCTGTCTCCAACTGCATGGATATCTTGTGGTAAGAAAACAGTCTTGATCTCTGTTTCTGAGTGGGGTATAGTCAGGTGAGGACGGGGTATTGATGGATGGATAGAAAAGTTCCTCTTGCTACAACTGAAATGAATACAGACAAATTGAATGTTAAATTTAATGTAAATTTCTATTAAACATTTTGCACTTACAGACAGGCTATTGAAAGTTTTACATAAATTTGTTTCTCAGTAAGAAATGATGGCAATATTGAAGTAGGAGTGTCAAGACTACAAAGTCCATAAAATATTGCCTGTACCCATTAAATCCAATCTACTTGTTGATAAGGTTCCATGGCAGACAGTGCAAGTAAGGGTTGTTATCAAAATACACATTTTTCAGCGAATCAGTATTTCCTAAACCTGAAAGTATATCATAATTTACATTTGAGAATCAAAAGTGGTCACAAAATAAAAAAATTAAGTACAAAATAAATAATTCACAGAATCTTTTAAAATCACCTTAATAGTAGACTAGTAGTATATAAAATATTTAAGTTTCAAATCTATAAACTTTGAAGGCAAGTTAGGCAAGTTGAATGTAAGTGACAGTTTTTATTACCTGGAGGGATGCATAATAAGCAATTGCCAGAGGCCGAGAGTTCTTCCAAGTGGTGTAGATGGCAGATCTCATTTGGTAAATACGAAAGTCTGTTTTTATCCAGCATTAACATCTGTAGGCTTTGGCACTGTCCTATCTCTTCTGGGAGGTGTTGGAGCCTGTTACTCATAACATCTAGGGTAGACAAGTGCCGCAGGCTGAATAACTCTGGAATAGATAGCCAATATATTCAGGGTCAGGGAGGCAGGTCAAAAAGACAACCATCGTGATTTAAAACCAGACCACATGGTGCTTAACACAAAATTATTGTTGATGACAATACAATAAACCAGTGTTTTGACATTTTGTTTAGGTACCTGAACAACAATTGCAAAAAAAACAAAAAAAACAAAAAAAAAAACTACCATTCAGACCTTTCAAAAAGCAAAAATCTGTCAATTGGCAAAAAATCCACAAGCATACTTGTTGCATTACCATTGTTAGTGTTTCCGCCAATATATCTATTTATCTCTACTTGAAATAATAACCATAAAAATAAAGCAAAATGGTCATTTGTGTAGTACCACCTTTTGGCAGTGTGGAAATTTCATTGTTGGCTAAATGCAGTGTTGTTAACTGGGACAGGCATCCAATACTGACTGGGACAGAGGTCAAGTGGTTACAGCTCACATTCAACGACTGAAGACTAACCAGATCCCCAACACCTATAAGGATAAATAATCAAGAAAAAATTAGTATTCACTGATCGTTTCTAAAATCTCTTAAAAACTACAGTTGCACCCTTCCACAGAAGTCATGACAAATATCTGCGATTTTTTATCCTTTAAAAGTAACATAGTATCATGCACTTACCATTAGGGAGTTCATTAAGTTCATTGGAATGCAAGTACCTGTCACAAATTAAAAGGGAATAAAATTAATTTTCACCCAATATTTCTGTATTGATATAATTCATACTGAAACTTATTGATGCATGGATTAATCCAATCTTGCCATTTTTCAAAAAGGTAAACATTAAGGTCATTTTAATTTTAAAGCCATGTTCCATATTTAAGGAGTGAAGTAGTGTTTTGAAATGTGTTACTTATCATACATGTATTATGTATCATACATGTATAACTTGAGAATTAATACTTACAATTCTATCAAACTGCTCAATTTTCCAATATCTTCAGGCTGTTGAAATAATGAAGTAAATCAACACTGTTAAACTGGTAATCTTGGAATACAACAGTACAAAACAGTCAAAAACTAGGATGTTTTTAAAATAAGTACTTTATTAGGTTGACCAGCATCAAATTCTCGCACGATTTTCATGTAATTCCCAACAAGATATCATGAATGAGCAAAAATGTTCATTCAATTGGAATTGAAACATAGATTATTAAGTAATGCTTATTTAGGACATCAGTATAACCCAGTTGGCCATAATTAAGCTGATGGTGAAAAAAAAGTCGAGCTTTAAGCTTTTTAATATGCTAAATAAATATGATTATTATTTTAAAGATAAATGAGATCCGATTATTATTTTAAAGATAAATGAGATCCAGAAATTGTTTTTTTTTTTAAGGGAAGGTTTTCCCCTTTATACGGCGTGTTTTACTGTATGAACATATATACAGACAAACAAACAAAATTATGGCATTTTCTTTCCACAATGTTGCATACACCATGTAGAAGTTAGGAAGCATGCTGAAAGGGGTTCTTTCTTGTAAATCGCAAAACAGATAAATGTTCTGGTCCAGATTTCCTTGACAACACTACATTCATTATAAAGCCATTTTCTTCCATTATAGACTGTATTTCATCAATGTCATTTTCTTTTATAACAACCAGGTAAAACACACCACATTTTGACAACAACAGGGGAACCTGTGGGAAAAATCTGTCCATCACTTCCCGTCCCCTCTCTCCCCCTGCCCATGATGCTTCAATCCCAGAACTTCCCACCTCTACTGGTGGTGTTACCACATATGGTGGGTTGAAAATTAATATGTCAACGTTTCCCTGACATCTGTACAGTAATGCTGAAGCTAGATCTGTGAGGACAGGGTTCAAATCAACATTGTTTTGTCTGGCAGTTCTTAGTGTCACAGCAGTGGCCTTGGGATTCACATCACTACATATATGAAACACTTTCATTTTCAGTATCTGTGCCAGGAAAGTACTGACAATGCCAGAGCCACATCCAACTTCTAAAGACACACTTGGGTTTAGCATTGTGATGATTTCTATGTCTTTCTCCAGTGCATCCATAAGTAGAAATGTGTCCTCGGCTGGCTCATAGACGTGGTCATAGTCATTGGCATTTAGATGAGAAATATCAGGGGTTGGGAAATGTGAAAATTTCTCCATGGGTCAGTTGATTTTATTCATGAATATGAATAGTTGGAAAGGGTTCAGATCTCATGCAGTAGGCTGAAGCAAAGAAAAGAGATTCTCAGGGTCATTTAAGTGTTAAAGACTTAATTTAGGCAAAAAAAATCTGGTTATAATTTAGTACTTTCATAGGATAACAACAGCAACAGGACTGTTGTTTAAAATAAATAATTAAAAATAAAAATGTTAAATTTAAAAGTAATTTCTTTAAGATATGGTCTCTTTTCTTTGCTTTAAGACAACAAATATTTAACTTTGAAGCAAAACAAGACAAATAAAATTATATTTAACCCATTTCATTATGTTTGATGATAACTTTTATATAACACTCAATTGAACTACTTACCAGCTTTTTTATAACATTTCTTTTCAAATACAGTCTTTGTAACTGCCTTAAGTCTTGACATTGAAGAAGGCAGCTTGGTAATTCTGTCAGACCTTTATAATTCAGCTGCAGTATGGTGTTGCTGTTTTTCTGCGCATCCAGCAACTCTGGGATTTCATCCACTGACATTCTGCTACATCTCTGTAATAAAGATTTAAGTGACAAATTACTTTCACCCAGCATTGATGAATCTCTTTCAGCTTTGTTTCAAGGCTCCAGTACACATGAATACTACCAATGGATTTGTATTTGTTTATTTTTAAATAAGAAGACACCAAAACTGCTTTCAAACAGTTTGGACTAAGAAAACTTGTGTGTTTACCTAATGCATGACGTAAATAATTGATTAAATTGAACAAAGTATCTGAGCCGGTTTTTCAAGACTCAAATCAAGTCCTTGTACTTTAATTGTAGGGCCCCTACAATTAAAGTACAGGGGGACACAGTCATATTTTTGTTAGGACATATTTATTAGACCACCATGTATATTGTAAGCTTTGCTTTATACAATTCTTCCCAAAATAATGGGCTTTTATGCACAATCTTAGATTCATACCACCGTGCACTACGTAGCTGCACGAACATACCCCTTTTGAGAACTGCTTCAATGCTGTGTCCTACTGCTTCTGCCCGTGTGTTATCTTGCTGCGGGATTAAATTCCCTCCATCTCTAAGCTCTCCTTTCTTAATATTACATAGCAAAAAATTCTCAAATGATAAAACTTTTAATTATTATCTATTTAGTATAATTTTAATTCAGAATGCATATATCAAAATTAAAATAATAAAATCATCACAATATATCAACTAATAAAATATCGCAAAGAAATAAGCCCGAGCCCTTTAAAAATGTCTGCGCCCATGAGGTAGCAGCATTTGCTTCGGAACGTCCAGCTTTTCAAAAACAAACACATTTTACCAACCTGATAAACAACTACTGTCGAGCGTTTTATCGTTTCTTGAAGAAACTTAAATTATGTAAGTATTTGTCATCTTTTTTTCATAAGTTAAAGCAAGGAGGTACATGTATAGGACTTGGTTAATAGCTTTACTGGTACATGTACCCAGTACTAATTAAGGGTCTTTAATTTCGATATCCCTTAAAATTCCTTCTTATTTTTCTTTCAGCAATGGAGCCAAGATAATGCTGATCTGGCGCTGCCTATGGAGGTTAGATGGAAATATCTATTTTACCAACTGATACCTTTTTTTTTCAGCTGACGTAAGAAAACAAAATAGATTTTATCAGTTCCCCTGTGATTGTTTATTGATCACTAATTTCTTGATTGATGTTTATTAGCAATCTGAAAACATACCAATTTCTGATCTATCTGCTTGTGTTATCTTCCACTTTTCATTTTAAGTGTTTCCTTACTGGGTTTCAGTATTTGGGGTAAGATTTAAACACTTTTTTATTTGATTACGGATTAACGAGTTGGGGGTTAATTGCTTATTAATTTATAAATTAATTGATTTACTCCATCTATTTCAGATTTATATATAATATTTTATCCAGGATGTTTCAGGCTGTTTCTCCTGAAAATTTCATTGAAATATCTTGATTTTTTATGGAAACAGTAGACGTTTTTGTATAACTCTTCTATAATTTTGATGATCACAGTTTTTCACAAATCATAATGTTAAACAAATAGAAAAAAATGTGTCAAATTGGGAAGAGTATTTTTGCAATATCTTTATCAATTTTTGGGCTACAGACTTGAATTTTGTATCAAAATTCTTTTTTTTTAATTTATTTATTTTTTTTTTTTTCGTGGTCTATCTGACTGCCTTGGTTTTAGGAGGTTGTAACATACCCACATGTAGCAAGACTCTACTCATGTTTTGTTTCATCACTATTTGCAAACCTTCAGTCTGTATTAGGTTATTGCTTACATATTTTCCAACAACTGTATACAAAAAATCATATCGATTCAGATTTCGGGTTCAAATTTGAATAAAGTTAACAATATCTATATTATCATAATAAATGTTTTGTTTTTGGTTTATAGCCATAAGCCATGAGGAACTTAAAACTTGCAAAGTCAACAGCAATCCATCTGCCAGAGCTCAGTAATTCTCAGCACATAAGTGTAGACTATGACACGGGTATATTGTATGCTGGAACGAGGCATGGGGTGATAGGATTTGACCCAAGAACAAGACAGGTGAGTAAAAATGTCAACAATGTTAATGCATCTGGTACATATCAGGAATCATAAAGAGGGCCGCAAATTAGTACTGCTATATATGATTTTTGATATGTACTGGATATGCTTACACATGGGAGTAGAGGACTCAAAAACTGTAAAATGATGAACAGTTTGCACATCCACAGAATGTTATGCAGGAGTTCTCAGATGTTTATCTTACCCCTTATCTCCTTAACTCACACACTTCTATAAAGCTGACCAGTTTTCCCTTCAGAATCATGATTAAGGTAAGATTCATCTTGGTGTCTACCATTTAGGCTGCTGGGAAATTAAACACCCACAAAAGAAAAGCAACCTACTGCACAGAATCATGCACAATAGAAGTTGCATGACCAACATGATTATTCAAGAGTTTTTTCAAGATGGGAAACTATTTCTTACTAATTTCTCACAAAAAGAAGTCCATTCATTGTAGCTATTGCTCCCTCAGGTTGTTTACAGATTTATTTTGATTGTAGTTGACTGGCTCCACATCTTTGGTTGAGGCTGGATACCTACCAGCTGATGGCAAGGGTAAAATAGTGGGACTGCAACATCTTCCTGATCAAATGTCTGTATGTGTGGCTACTTATGAAGGAGATGTAATCATCTGGAACACAGTATCTGTCGAGGTACAGTGAAATGAATTTTAAACATAATGAATTATTTTTATCATATTTGATTTCTCTTCCCTTGGTTCAAAATTCAAATTATTTTGCCCTGGGGCACATGCATTCATATTATAGTAATAGAGATTAGTATTGGTTACAGAAGTCTCAGCCTGTTCTGTATGATGTGTGTGTGTGTGTGTGTGTGTGTGTGTGTGTGTGTGTGTGTGTGTGTGTGTGTGTGTGTGTGTGTGTGTGTGTGTGTGTGTGTGTGTGTGTGTGTAAGCA